CTAGCATTCTGAAAAAAAGTTCCAAATATTAATCTCACATTTTTGCAGGCGCATAGTGTGACAGAGCCAAATAAGTGATAAAAGATGAGTATCTATGTGAATATAGCAAGTTCATACTGTGAATAAAATCAAAGCTTTGTACCTTTGAGTTAAACATTCCAATATTGAAAGCGAAGAAGCTCTTTCATAGGTKCGCTGGAGCCAGCACTGAGTCATGACAATATGCATCCAATCGGGACATTCAGACGTTTGACGTGGGCGTAAACCATACTTYAACTTTCTTAAAATCTAAATATAAACAGTAGTTGAAGTAAATCATAAAGAAAAGAAAACCCTAAAACGAAATGATGTGAGAAAGTTGGAATCCGTGTAATAGTTTCAAATCCAGCATGAATATGAGTCGAATTCGTGTGTTATTTCTCAAAACCAAGCAATGACATGTAGTCAAATGGAGCAGAGAAAGAGAATTATGAGCAATGACAAGGAGAAGATACGTACCTCGATGTCTTCGTACTGTGGAAATGGCTTTATATCTTGTGAATTCAATTCATTGTCAAGGGAGCAAAAGATTGCCCACATCAGCATGCCAAGTGACCAAATGTCACTTTCCTTTGAGAAAAGACCTTCTTGRATGACCTCTTGGGCGTGCCTACAAGACAATGACTTTTTTCTTAACTTCTTGACTTTATATATTCCCTGACATTTTTTTTGTAAATGGTATTGATTTTTTATGCTAAACATATATGACTGGCTATGCCCTAGACTGAAAATGCCTCGCACAAGTTCCCAGTATTGCTCACTATAAATCTACAAAGAAGATTCTCTTAAATTTGCAAATTCATCTCTTGGCTAATGTCTTGTTTATCTGATAATTTCTTTGAAACGATTCATACCAGCGGTGTAGGTGTGCTTCTAGATCTCCCCTATTTGTGCATATGGCAATATTATCTTGGTATAGACGTAGACTTCTTGTGTACTGGAGACCAGCTAGTTTTACCTTCACAAAAAAATAAAAATAAGATAAACAACATAATGAAATGAATGGATAAAGAAAAATAAAAGATATATCTAGTAATAATCGACCCAAAAAGGGATCTTCCTGAGGTTTTCCAACAAATATATGCACCTCAAAACCATAAACATTTGGAAAACGACAAAGCATTATGGTAAAACATAGAACTAGACAGCTTGAGATGGAAATAAAAATCTTACATGTCTTCCATTGACAACAACAACGTTGTCTGGCGTAAGGTTACARTGCACTATGTTTTGCGAGTGGAGATAGTTTAAGGCTGAACATATCTGGGCACAAAATCTTGTCAAATCATCAACAGTGTATCGACGGCTTTTGAGGTGTTCTCCAAGGCTTTCRCCAGGATATTCTAGACTCTGGAAAAAGAGAAAAATTTGAAAAATGTTTCTGATTCAAACGATTTAACATTTGAGGATTGGTGACATAAGTGGGGTTGTAAAGACTGCTTCTTCTCGTAATCCACCTCTCCTCACCAAGACGTTCACCTCAGCTGTGACTACCTTCAATGACTACAATGTAGCTTGCTCTCTATAGAATTATATCGAATCTGCAGTAATTGAGCCAATTAAGGCTATTGCCGGTTCTGCTCCATAAACGTAAGCTCAATACAATGGAATTAGAAACTACGATTGGAGTCCTTCTTCTCAGGAGCCTCAATACCACGTCTTATCTGAAGTCAAATAGGAAGCTGGCTGTGTATACAATGTAAAYAAAATAAATGCTCAAGCAAGAATAAAATACTTACAATAACCTTGATGCTGTTCTTCTTCTTCACTTTCAAAATTTTAACAAGATGCGGATGGTCTAGCTGCAAAAGTTTGTTGGTATGATGTACGCTGTTGTCCTTGAGGGTTACTTGTAGCCTTTTGGGTCGCGTCTGTAKAATATAAGATTTGAAAGACATTTATTCCAGGTCCTCTCTAACCGTAGAAGGTTTTATGCTAGCAGTGCCATCAACTCTAGTTTTGAGACAGGATCATGCAATCGGACTTCAAAGCAGCTGTTCTGGGAAGATGTAGCTGAATGTGAATAACTTGCAGCGCTCAGTATAAAACCAGATTATACAAAGACAATACACAGATTATATAAAGAACAGTAGAAAACGCTGCCACTTCTAAACAATCATCTTTGAATTRRAAAAAAAAAGAACACTGACTGGAATTTTCTCATTCAATTCACTRAAAGAGTACCTTTTGATATTTGTCAACAGGGAGAGGTACTCCGTTGTCCCAAGTTACGTTCTGGTGCAAAGCTTCATTGCCCTGATAATGGATGGTTTAAATACGGTAAGTCAGTGCCTTTTCAAAAATTTTAAAGTGTGGTRCAAAAACATACCTCTGGCTGTGGATATGGAGAGGAAGTGTTGTCGTCGGCAATTACGTTCTGGTACAAATCTTTATAAGTTTCTTTTTGGACTGTGGCAATGTTCTCAGGTATTCTCATCGGACGATCATCTGTATTTCATACATCACATTGTAAAAAGGGATGTGAGGAAACGCATGCGCAAATTACACACCTTTTCTATATTCAAAATAGAATATCAGAAATAATGGAAAGTGATATGTCGGTTTATTATGCTCGATGGCTTCGAGGTACATACATCTCACATCATTTACCTCTTTCGTCACACTGATTAATCAGTTTTTGAAGGTCAGTGCAGATKTCCAGGAARGATAACGGACCTTGYCCAAAGCAACGCTGCATGAGAGTGTAGTACCCATCCTTCATGTGCTTTTCTTTTAAAAGATAACGTCCAGCATGTACCTTAATCAGAAATTCWGATTTTCAAACTTTCTTTCGGTTATATATGATAGCTATGGGTCGATGCAACAAAAATACATCCAWTTAAAAAGATCAAGTATGATTCAGGAGTACTAACTTACATCTTCACGGACGTTTTGCAGATTCCTATCTGCATAAGGCAGACCCCCACAAGTAATTATTTCATACATAAGGACGCCGAATGCCCATATGTCAGATTGSGATGAGCACATTGGAGGATTTTGAAGACCCCACGGTGCCGTCCATCTGATTGATGGGTCTTGAGGATCAAGGCATTCTCCTTCGTAGCCTTCTTCAAACTCCTTATCTTTTAATAGCCTTGCTTGTCCAAAACCAGTAATCTTGATGCATTCGTGGGTTGCACCGACCAATAGGTGTTCTGCGCGTAATTGGTTGTGGACAACGCGTTTCTTGTGTACGAAGACCATTGCCTTTGCACTTTCAAGGCAGATCTGTAGTACCTGTCTGTATGACGGAGGGTTTCTTTCACGACGGTTTAAGAGGTAACTGCGCAAGTCACCATTTTCAGCGTGTTCCATTATAAAATGGTAAGGCAGATTGTTGGTATCAGCGGCATACATCAAGGGCACATGCTCAGACTTTTCTAGATATCGCCTRACAGAGATTTCATTTTCCATCGCCTTTTCAGCTGCCGACCCTTGGCAATCTTGTGCAGCGAGCAACCTGGACACAGGTGCAGAAATTATTTTAACAGCAACTGGCTTGTCGTTATATCTACCTCTCAWTGTCACATGTTTTTCTTTTTCACAAATAGTGTCGCTAATTTCCAAGTAACCCTTTTGGTTGGATGCACAAATTCTTTTTCTGAGAAGTTCTAACGAAAGCTTCTCTTCCAGCTCGTCTTGGTGTCGTTTTCCCAAAAGRGATCGGCGCGATTCGACATCATAGGCGAACATAGCTTTTGTGACGTACTTTGTCACAATGGCATGTACTACACCAGATTTATTGTAAGCCTTTRTGCTACAAAACCTTTCAAGACTTTGAGCAGCGTCTATTCTTGTAGCTGAAAAAATTGCATAGACTACATAAAAAACTGTTCAACAACAACAACAACAACAACAACAACAACAACAACAACAACAACAACAACAACAACAACAACAATAGTCCTGACAAGTATATTATCATTAAAAAAATAACTATGACTATACAGATATGGTCTTTTGCTAAAAAGTCAGAGCAATGATGTAAAGTATTCTTCGCTCACTCGGGGAAGGTGGGGGGAATACAATTAGTGCAGAGGGAATCTACCCTTATGTAGGAAGATTTTGGTGGGTTGCATCCAATCCTTCCACACACATTGATCACATGTTGGCTGACTAGAATAGAACTTCATGCACTCCACAGTGGTGCTTACTTTTGAAATTGTGGCTGACAGTCACGCTGACAAATATCTCGCAAGCAAGAAGTGCAAAGGACCAATCATCCCGCTCACGTTTGGCACTCCAAGATGGAGCAAAAAKGGGATGCCTGCTTGTGATGGTCTTGAAAAATCTATATGCACTTGGCTGATTAAATAGCTAGAGAAAAGAAAACGAATCAAGCATAATGATTCAGTAATTTGACTGTCTCTGATTCTTGGTTTACATCCCGGGACGTTTCAACCCAGTTTTCCATTTCAGATCTGACTGGATAATGAAACTTGTTTAAAGGTCTACTTGGACGAAAATTGCAAAAACATTAGAAAAGACTTGAAAATCAAATAGACCTATCCATATGGGTCTAATAATCATAAAGCAACAGATTTCACTAACAAGATATTGATACAAATCCTTAATATTTTGGGCAAAAAATGTTGGAATATAGATGACGTCATCTACTCCATTCTTTTGTTCTTCCATCTTTTGAATCAAAATTTCTCTTATGTGGGATAACTCCAAAACGAATACTTTCCCTCAATTGTTTTTAATAGATAAAAATGAGTCATATATTTGTATTGCTTGAAGTTTTGAATTAAGACCACTTTCATGCAAGTAGCACTTTAAACCTGGTMAGAATCAATTAGATGTGGGAAACGCGTATAGGAAGCATTTTAAAGAATGTTGGTTATCGCGACAGAGTAAATTCAGAAAAKAAATTTGCATACACTTGCTATCAGTAGACTGAGATCTCTAGCTACTGCATTTACCTTGGCTTGAAGCACTTTTATTATAACAAACAGATCAACGGCACCATTCTCCATTCGACTAACWTTTTCCAGCAAGGAGTCAACGTCTTCTTCCACAAAACCGTCTTTAAGCATTGTTTCACAAGAATCTAGAAGTTCCTTCAATCGTTTGTGCATTCTTGTTTTGTCAAGCAAACGTTCCAAGAGGCATGAGATGATTTCTAAAGAGAGGCGTTTGCGATACTTTCTTGGTTGCGGCCAGTGACGAAGGATCTTCTCTGTTTCTAACTTACAAGTAGCGATTTCCTCCTTGTCAATCTTATTGTAAGGATAAGAGAGATGTTCCCTTGCTCTTCCTATCAGCATTGCTGTTAGAACATTACAGTAGACATTCATACGGCGCCTCTGGTCATGCATTAACTCGCTTCTAAAACTACCGTCCACAATTGGTTGGCGAAGCCACTTTTCCACTTCGACAAGGTACGCATTTGTTACATCCCTTCCAATATCAATGGCAATAAACTTTTCCAGAAGCTTCAATGCATACTTCGCAATTCTAGGACTTCTGAGGGTTGGTGAACCAAGTCTGGCCAAAATCTCTAATGTGTCATTACAGTTTCCACCACTTTTCATGGCGTGTCTTTCAATTTGTGGTAGAACTTCTGCCAAAACAAAGCTTTCCATTCGATCTTTTTCTGGACCTCGAGAGTCTGCAACATCTTGCAGAAATGCATCAAAATGCTCTAGGACTTTGGACACTGCAGAAAAGGATTAAAAAAAACAAAAAAATATTAAAAATGGTAACTGGAATTCAATTGACCGGAGAAGCTTCCACTATAAAAGACAATTCAATAACTGAGCCCTGTTTTTGCTACTGAGTATCTGAAAATTTGCTTTGAGTTTCTCTACAAGGCTTTCTTTACAATAGCAAAAAAACTACTCGCCATTAAAAGTGTCGTTCTGGACTTGGTTTGCTACAAGCTTTGCATCTCGTCCAATGGCAATGTTGCCATTTCCTCCATTCACTTCTACTTTGAAGATGTCTGGTTTCCGATAAAACTTTCTCTCCTCTTTATCTTAAAAAAATCAAATAATAATAATAATAATAATAATAATTAACACTCAAACCAAGTTGTCCTACTTATACCACATAACTGACATTAACATGACACAATATACTTATGTCTTTAAAGATTGCTTGCAGGTTTCTACGTTTTTGCTGCCATGTTGGATGGCCTCAAGTACTTATATTACTCGAATGTTCTCTATGATTCTCTAAAGATAAGAGTCACAAGGATATATGATGCAAGTCTGCGTCTAGACTTTTTATTGAAATCAGAGACAATTCTCGAATTACTCTGTACTTTAGTTAATCAGATTAACCAATAGAATGCGAACGGGAAGTAAATGTCATTTCGGAYAGTGACAATCAAAGAGGAATTTTCGTCACGCAATTCCATATGCAACGAGTGTCATTTAGTTATCGACTCACATSATTTAAAATTATAATGAATTATTTTGTATTGTGGCTATTTACTGAGTGTATTTAGATATCGTTTATAAATGTGATTAAACATTGTAATTGCAGTTTGCATTCTTTTAYTGAAAGAGTCTGTATCATATATGCGTGACGGATGTAATGGGAGTCTGATTACTCACATTAAGAAGTGAGGATATATTTATAACAAGAAGAATTGAAGAAGTTTTGTAGAATTATTTTTTACCTGCCCAGTGATTTGCTTTCATTTAAAAAGATCTATATTATAAGAAAGTGGGGAGGTATATACACTTTGTATATTCATGTATTATTGAATAGATGATATTGCATACTCAGCGGAAGCTATAGAATTTGTCTTCTACTGTTGTAAAGATCTCTCAAGAGTGAATGTGTAATATTCTGTTTAGTATTGTAATAATTTATTATCTATGTAGCAAATTGTTGTCAAACTGATAATGATACTCTAATAGAGATGCCAAACGATCAAAGTGTTTTAACTTTCACTTTAGTAAAGGAAAATCAAAACATGTAGTAATTTTCACTTTAATAATATATACATTTAATTGTTATGTTGTTATTTTCCGCTTATATGGAAATAACAAATGTTACGAAAGTTAGAAATATGACAATTCTATGATAAAAATACATTTTAGTGCAGTCTTTTGATTAAATTCTATACCTCTCGCAAATGTAAATATAATAGGCAAGATATTAAACTTTCACTTGTTGCTAAACTGCAGAAAGTGTTCGAATAACCGAGTCGAATAATCGCAAAGAGTTTGTTTGAATTGCAGGCTAGTTTAGCGTAGCGAGAAAATTAGAGCAAACATTACATGAAAATAACCGTAATACTCTGCACGTATTTGCACCACGGCACTTCCAGTTGCATTTAATACTGGACTGTACTCGACTAACGAGTTGTTGTTAATACTCTCCACTTCTAGGGTTGCATCTTCGATGCATAAACGTTAACTAAATCATATTAGTACCTTCATCGTCTGACGAGGTGGTGTCTTCCGCAGTTCCGTGTTCGGATACGGGCATCCTGATGGAATTATACTTGCCGGATCGCAAGCCTTCTGAGTTCTGGTCAAAGAACTATATCTTATTAATTGGTAGCTACTGTAGCAAGCAATACTTTGATGGACTTTAATATCAGCAGACCATAACTTCTTTTTATGCCCAAGTCCCAAATATAATTTAGGGACTTTACCTTGGCTTACGTCAAAGTAACCCTGGTTACTTTCAACAGCTTGTTTGTTTCAGCTTACATAAGGGAAAAAGTCCTTACTGAACTTTGTTTTCCATGAAATGAAGGGAAATTACATCAATCAATAGGAAATTCAAATCATCATATCAATGAAGCAGTTAGCGTTATGACATTTCATAATAATCATGATTAACTACAAAATCAAAATTTATATTAATATCATTCCTAACATTTTTGTCACGCTATATTTTGGTATTGAAAGAAAAGGTCTGTCACGCTAGTTATAGTATCTCCTGMTCGAGATTTAGAGGAATTAAATTAATAAATCGTATGCTGCATAATGCAACTGTGATCAAAACAGCACAGTTTTAACWAAAAAAAGTTTAAAAACTTTCACCATTATAACATGACATGACGTCRCAGATTTAAATGTATGGTGGACTTTACGCGCGCCTCATTGAATTCGTTCCAAAATGCAGTAGTTTTGACAGAAAATGACTATTTTCCTGGTTCAAAGCTTCAAAATGATCCATATAACCACCTGTCAAGCCATAATTAATAACTATGGTCAAGCAAATAAAACGCTGGATGAGATGCAGAGGTATAAAAGGTATCAGGGTATCTTGGCCATGTGCGTCTCATAGACGACATCGAATTGCTTCCATATCAATATATGAACTGTATGTTGAACATTTTTTAGTATTTTTTTTAACATAGTTTTTAGTTACATGACTTTGTAACCCAATTCAGCCCTTTGTCTKCGATTTATCTTTGTTTTTATTTTTATTTTAGTTTATCAAAATAAACTATCTAATCTATGTAAGTCTAACTATACTATACTAGGACTTTGGACATATGATGGACAAACCCTTTAAAAGCGGACGAAAATATGTGGATTCCCATTTTGTACGACGTACATGAAGCAAGACAAGAGTGACCATTATAATTATGAAGACTAGCTTGCCTCATTTTTTTGCAAGTTGACCGGAAAACAAACTTAACTCGGATACACTCGTGGCTCTTGAAATTCTCCGATAAACACTTTACCTGCAGTAAATTGAAAAATATTATGAAATCGTAATCACTTTTAGATTGTTAATAAAGCTTAGATACTGTTTTTGGATTTATTGTACTAGATTGAAAACTACCGCTCATTTGGTACATCGAAGACTTTGACTGAGGGAGCCAAATTTGGTGAAGCTATGTGACAAGAAACCAAAAGGTGACCGAAATAAAAATTTAAATATGAATCGATTTAGATTACTAATACAGTTACAATAGTCTTTCCTTACCTATATATTTTTGGGGGGATTTTTTTCTATACATTTGAAAACTACCACTCATTTAGACTCATTGAGTCCACTGAACACACGTGKTTCATGTGGGTTCCCTGTGCTTTTTGTTTTGGAAATTTTAAAAACAAGACGGCCGATTATTGAAAAGTCATTCTACAGCTAAGAGATATAATAACATTGATAAAGCGAGTCTACCACTACTTCCAAATAAGGGTGGATGACAAATGAAGGGCAAGTTTATAGCACTACCTTCTATCCCCTGCAAGTGCTCTTGGGATAGCTGATGCGCATTCCATCTGGAGACTGAGGAAGACTAGGTTCTAGGTAACGGAGCACCGATTCTAAGGATTGTGCATTCTTACATCGAAACAAAAGATTTGAAAGTAGGTATCTTTCACTATGTATGCTTATGTCATTATTGGCTGTTGCTCATTGCCGTGAGTTTATTATATATAGCCAAGTATGACGTTAACATTTTATTTGATCAAAGTGAAATAAGTCTTAATTGTGCATAACACCACGTACAGAAGGATGACATTGACAATTTCTTTGAAATTATCGTTAARTGACGTAAAGAAACAATGTCAGACATGCATTAGTGTTAACTTAACTAAACGTGATTTACGATATGCTATTTCTTCGGTACAGCCCCCCCGAACGTCAAATTAAATTTGATATACTAGAATGCAAACTAAAACAATGAAATTGTTAACCAATTAATGCTGCTTAATGGCATACTAATTTCAATCAATATTGTGTACTGCTCAAGCTAGACTATTTAGTGCTATTTGGCAAAGCACGTTTTCACGCTTAAAGAGTTTGCATTTAATGCTTGAACTAGCGCATCGAAAACCAGGCTTAATATTGAATTAAGATACTTAATGGTTAATTTTTATGACAGCCTCTCGCATATCATCGAGTGTAGTTTGTACTAGTAAGATTTACTGGAAAATCCGTTATACGTTTTATTCTTCTATATTTCCAGACAAGAAAACTGGCTCATTGATGACTAAAATGCAAAAATTACCCACTGCAATCACACTTATTTCAGCGTTGTGTATATTTTATGAGGTCAAAACAACTCCCATCAAAATCGACACTCCCTACCCCCCTCAGTGGCCTAGTGCACCATCAAGTATTGAAGAATACCCTCTAAAGGACATCCACGGTACGAAGAGCCATGTCATAGACCCCTGGATCTACAAGCAAAGACTTGGGGTCTTCAAGATCATGATCATCACAACAGAGAGCTACTTTAAGCCTTGGGGGTTCAACAACACTGGGAATCTACTATGGGGTCTACCCCTGCAGTTTGGATGGCAAATGTCGTCGAAAAGACTACAGGTCCGWGCCTATTCCACTYCAAAGAAGTCYGATTACTCACTCGAATTCACGCCAGMAAGCTGGTGGGCGAATATGAATTATTACTTGTCAATCATTCCATTTCTTGGCGCAGTAAAGGCTGGGGTTGTTCCTCATTCAAAGTATCCATTCTACATCCCTTTTCCGCAAAATGTCACGACTGAAATGCGTGACAGGTTCTGCACGAGTGTCACGCAATGTCAGTCACGGTTTCCTAGTTTAATGGACAAATGGAGCACTTTCTTTGATCATCTTCGTACCAGAGAATACGATAACTTTGGTCAAGATATGGACACCACAGTTGGTCTATTATGGGATGCGCATGTGTCATCGATAGCGACTGGTAAGACGATATGTATGCTTTTCATAACTATTATTAAGGGAGTTCCCATAGTTACCCCCTGCAGTTTCAATGATAATCGTTTTCTCTCTTTTTAGCAAAGTCCATGTTTACAGACAATCTTCATCTGTTATCCGTCCCAGAGATGCACTTCGGTCGTGGTTGGGCTCTTCTTGTGGATTTCATCGCTGCTACTCACTTCCAAACTAATATGAACAACACCTACCAACAACAGGTTATAGCTCTGCCCCCGCGTATTTTGCACAGCGGTGACTACCCACCTCATATACCCGACTTTACTAAATACCAGAACAACGCCCTACAAATTATCAACTTGATATACAACGCCGAGACACTGACTGACGGAGGATTTTTGTATATATGGAAAAAGGCCATGTGTTCTGATAAAGGGAGAGCAGATGGGAGAGAGATGTTGGAAAACYTTCTGGAACATCCCATCGTTGTTGTCGAAGACTTGATCAAACTGGTGATTGATTTCATAAAGGACCATGATTGCTAACACACTAGAGAACACACACGAGCGACTGAACTTTCTTCTGAAAAAGGGATGAGATTTATACATTTCGAACGAATAATTCGGATTGATTGTTTTTGCAATTACTTAGCAGGGAAAAAAGTCGAGTACGACTGCAGGTGCGCAAAGACACTTGGGATCACTTCAGCAGCCAATCACTGAAACGTTCAACAGTTAATTCTCAAATCTTTATTCTGATCTATCCTTCGTATTCCATCATTTCTATCTATTTACAGTAACACTTGATTCAATTGTCAAAATTTACAATACCTCAAGGGTAAACAAATGAATAGGTCGTTAGTGGACTCATCACAAAACTAACTTGAGTTGCCTTGATTTTCATGCAATCAATGGCACAGCATCGGTATTTTGAAACTTAGCCGAGTGAAATAGTAGCTGACGCGGTTGAACAGTGCTCAATTCAATACACATAAGTGCAGAACAAAACATACAATATGTGAACTATTTATGCCCTCTTCTATCTTCCTATTCACAGAACGTCAAACATGCTCAAGGTCCAAGTAAGTTTTTCTTTGAATTTTGTCTAGCCATCATTCTACTCGGTTTTCTTTGTTTTGAAAGCTGACTAGGTTTTCCTGGGCAAACATCAGGTACGTTAGCAAACGTCACCTTTGTGTTATGCCTGGGAGTTACTTTCACAGGTTTGTAGACCTCCCGATCAAGATAATGACTTAAAATCGCATGCAAGTCAGGTGTTTGGGTCCTTGCWACAGCTGGAACACTTTCTGTTTTGTCTGTGCAAAGTTCTGATAACTGTATAGAGAAACCAGTTTCGCTTGCTGAAGCTTCACTGCTTTTGCTAACACTGCGTTCGTCAGTGGAGTTCATCCAAGAATTAAACTTTAATGGTCTCGAAGGTTCACTGTAGGTGGTCAGTCGTGTTCCTGGTCTCGGTCGTCGACAGTTCTTCATGTTGTCAACAATGGCCGACTGCCGCTGTATAAAATCCGCAGACGTATGCGGCCGATTAAGTCTAGTTTCTCGGCCGGGTGTAGACCGTGAACTCAACAGCCTTGCTTGTTTTTCTTTTAGCTGCATTTGGGAAATTTCTTTCCTGATTTTCTTCATCCATTCTTTGTCACTCAAAAAGTACTCGGAATCCCGAATGCCATCCGAGGCAAAACCTTCGGTTTTCAATATATGAGCGCAGTAGAAGTGTCCCATTTTAGCAGCTAATAAGTATGCAGAAAACCCTTTGTTGTTCCTTAAATCAACGCTTAAACGATACTTCATAAYGACCTTTAATAAAGACCTCAGAGCTGCAGCGTTGCCAGACATAGATGCATACATTAACGGTGTGTTGCCCTCATCGTCCTTTGCATTGATATCATATTCAATGTCTTCCAAAAGTATTGCTACAATTTTGTCCTTTCCAGTCATACATGCATAGCTGAGAGCTGTACGGTCGTGTTTATCTTTAGTGCTTATAGTCGCTCCTCTGTCAATTAACATGCGTACAATACGTACTCCTATGTTTTGTTTGTCAATCTGACAAGCAAGCATTAAAGGTGTCTTTGAATCGATGTCCGGTGTATTTGGATTGGTGCCTATCTCAAGAAGAAGTCTTGTCTGATGTACACGACCGTTTTTGATCGACAACTGAAGAGACATGGTGATTGCTAAAGGTATTTGGAAGGTTTTGTAGTCTTCATTTCAAAAGTTACTGTACACAAGCTTGTTTAGATATTACTTCACTGTTTGTCTTACTCTGTCRTCAGCTTAGCAACTGTCTGAAGTTTCTGCTCCTTACCAAGTCAAAGTTTTTACCTCAAAACTTTTATCAGCAAACAAGATCTGGTYGCTTTTCTCATAACATTTGACCAGAAGTGYACAAACGYGTTTTCTTTATAACCAACCAAGACAGTCTGCAATCCCATAATAATCGAGTAATAAATCTAAGGTTTTAAGAGGAGTATTGTTTAACTTCGACCTTTATGAAGACCTTGATTCCCTGAGGGACGATAACAATACTTTTCGCAGCGTGAAGAAGTAATGACCTATTCAATCCATCACAAAAGACCACAACAGTCAGAATAAAAGCGTCAAACAAAAACTCAAGATGACAGATTACCAACAAGTGCAAATGCCTTAAAATGAAATGAAAATTACTCTGGAAAACGTCCAAGCTAATATCGAAAGATGAGCTGAGAGTCGGAGTATCTTGTAACAGTTCCGCGTCTGAACTTGACACCAAGTAATTTTAAAGTTCGTTTCAAAAATCTTCAGACTTTAGACTGAGTATCGACAAACAATCCGTTTTTTAGCTGTTTACTGGTGTATCAGCTGGTGATAGCAAGGTCCTTAGCACTGTAGATAATTCATATTTAATTGTCCCACCTAATTGTCCCGTACATTATGACGTACTCGAACAAAACAGGAAGTGTATTAATAGCAGTACCGCTCTAATCTTTGGGCCAATATTAGCTTTGAAACAGCTTAAAAGCTAGTCCCTTCTTTCAGCCAAATCTAAGTATGTAATTAACTTTCCTATAACATGGTGGCAACTCACTGAACAGGAGCGCCTGTGTCATAAAAACGACTGCACGAATGGAAAGTGAGATGGGCAATTTCTCAGTTTTTTTTCTTTTTTTCATTTAAACCTCTCATTTACACCTTTGTATAAAAGTTTGGGTCAAAAATTCGAAAATTATTATTATCATTATTATCATTATTACTGGAGCCTCATYTCGTCTCGTGACTCGATGATCAATGATATCTCGTGACATAATTGTTGTTCAAAAGCATTTTTTTTTGCGAGGTAAAAACAGAAGACAAAAACACATTTTACGTACAACAGCACGTTTACTTTTTTGCGGTGTTAAAATTTATCTCATTTCACAACTGCTTCTATTCATTAACACTGACTTTCCCACATCTAAGATCCGGGGAAGGAAAACGGGGCTAAGAGCGGGAGGCATTTAATTGGCAAGGAAAATCAAATGTAAACGTATAGGTGTAGASAGGTGTTAGGGGTCAATGTGCACTTACTTTACAATCTTTGCAAGGGCAATCAGTGTGTAAACATAAAATAACGACGTTTATTATATGATTAATAGTGTTCTACTCGTATTTTCMATATTTTCAGTGAAGATAAGAAAAAGTTATCAAAATGTCCCGGATGTACGCGCGCGTCAAACAAAAACAACTTTCCCGCTCATTTCTACTTGTCGCTTTAGTTTGTCCAGATAACTAAAATGAACATTACACGTTGTCTTAAAGATATGAATTTTATTTTCTCGTTTTTAAAAGGTTTTMTACTGATAAATTTCTTTATGTCGGATTTCTGGTGTTTTGTGGMGTAAAAGATTGGTACTTTGAGTTTTTAAAAACTCTTACACAAAATGAAAAACGTTTTCACCAATCGAAAATAAAATTTATATCTTCGCGCCACCGTGTAATATCCTCTATGTRTTTGAGTCACGAGAGTACTGCGCACGTGGTTAACAAGGGCAAARAATCAGTTTGTATGCGTAATGGGATAACGATGTGTATTTGAGTCACAGGAGCAATACCAACATGTTTAAAAATGACAACAAAGGGATCGTGCTTGAGTCATAATGCACACTTGGCGCGCGTTCCATTAAGGCAAAACTGACCGGCCAAAGCTGTCTGTTTAGAAGTAARTAATACCTTTTTCGAGATTTTGTAGTAATTTTTAAAATTTTCTATTGAAATAGGAAATTTAAAGT